TAACTGTTACTATTTTAGACGAGCATAGATTAGTTTTAATGGGTTTGATTTGATCGTTGGGCTTATGGGCCACATCTCTTGAGTACTACACGAGCGGGTAGGCCGACTTTTAGATTGTTAATTATATTTTGATCCCGATAATATGCGAAAAGAGGGTGCACTAAATTAAGAAAAATAAAGATGCGGAAAGAGGGGGTACACTCATTATCAGGTAAGGAAAAATAAAGAGAGCCTAGAATCATTGTAAACTGAATAGAAGCGAAAAAATAAAGAGAGCCTAGAATCATTGTAAACTGAATAGAAGCGACGACGTCAATGATGATCCTTTTCTTCTTCCTCTAAAGAGATGATAAAACTACAATTATCATTAACTATTATTTTAAACCATGATTGTAACAACTAATCAGTAGTTTAGAGGTCCTATAAAGAGGTTGATTCTTTTATGTTTTTTGTTTATTTTTTTGGATATGAAATATTAATGTTTTTTAAACTAAATTTTTAAAAAGTTAATTTATGAATATCAAGGGTCTGAAATACCATGATTTTAAAAATGATTGTAACAACAAGAACGATGAAAAGAACATATTAAAACATATTGCCTTTTTTTCCTTTAAGAGCAAGTATAATCTCAATCTATGTGCATAAATCAGGTGTATCATTAAGTTTTCATGTTTTGTTTGATTATATTGTACCATAGCTTAATTGGAGCTTGAAAATACATAAAACCATGCCCTTGTCAACACCACACATACCCAAACGCTCTATTGAGGTAGAAACAGTTAGTAAAAAGCCGTGATTTGTGAGGTTAACTAGGGATTGAGGATGGATCCAATGGAAAGAATGATTGCTAGTGAGGTGGGATTAGTACCAAACATAATTACCACACGTGTCTAGCTGTCTTAGCCTTAATTAATCTCACTATGTTTTCCCTTTCTTTCTAACTTTCTCCTTTTCAGCCCCTAACTTTTACAATGGATCAAATTATTAATGCGAATGAATCATCTTTAACATCTTTTTTTTTTTTGCTTTTTTAACCCGGCCAGGCGGCCACGATAGATGGCAGCGGAAAGGAAGCTGATCACCACCAATCTACATAAAATGTATAGTTTCCATTTCTTTTTCTTTTGGTTGGTGATACATATCATATCTATAAATCGCTTTTACCTATATAATATTGTGTTATCTCTTCTTTGTTTTTGGGACAAAATATTGTGTTATCTCTAGTCTTTTTATTTGGAGCAAAATTTGTTATCTCTAGTCTAGAAATAACGCGTTGAGAGTGTATGACAAGAGACCGACACCTATGATGATTTCAGAAAGCATATATCTTGCGAATATGGACGTAGTGGGTTAAATGAACGTAGCTTAGGCCTAGTTTAGTTATATTCTTGCACGAATTGACGACACCCAAAAGTAACTTGATGTAAATCTTCTTTCATTTTAGTGACATTAAGTTATTAACAGTTTAGCCAAAAAAGGTAACCAAGACGTAGGGCTAAGATAATCAATATAACATGCAGACACCGATCAAGAAAATGATCCAAATTTCCAACAAAAGTAAAACAAAAGATTAGATAGATAGATTTTTATATATACATTTACTAACATAATTATATATGTATACTGATAAATATATATATAGACAAACATATACATATTTTTGGTAAAAATAAAAATATAAACATATACATTTATAAGTATATCCCAAGCTTTTGAACTTGACTACCTTAAGCCAAAAAACTATCCCATAGAATACTTGCATGAAAGCATCAGGCAAGGAATAACCTTAACTGTTTCCTGATTCCAAAACAAGGAACCTTAACTGAAGACTCATAAAGTAACTTGTATTGATTGGTTTAAAATCACTTGGAAATGGTTATTCTAACGTGAGATATCGACTCTCCATGCAAGTTATTCTCTCTTCCTCCCTTAAAAAGGCCTTCTCACTTCAGTAAATCTCCGTACCCTAACCACATCTGGACCACAAAATACTATATTTTATCGTTATATCTGTTCCAGTAAAGATGCAATCTCGTTTCAATTTGTCACCAAAGATCTTGTTACTATCTCTAACACTTATTTTATCAGGTAATAATTCAATCTACATTATACTTCCCAATGATGTCTCCCTTTATCTCCATTATTCATATATCATCACTGAAAAACATTTGTAGACCAGTTACACACAAAAAAAAAACATTTGTAGATGACGACCAGTGTAAATTTTAATCTACACAGGGACAAAATGGTCCGAATCAGCTCGAGTATTCACGATCACGAACTCATGTAACCAAGTCGTATGGCCGGCGATTACACCCGGAGAGAGCTTCAATGGCGGAGGATTCGAGCTCAAACCGGGCCAATCCATGGTTTTCAATGCACCAGTAGGCTGGTCAGGTCGAATATGGGGCCGAACCGGTTGCAATTTCGACAAAACCGGAACCGGACCCTGTGAAACCGGTTCATGCGGCTCGACCCTAAAATGCTCAGCCTCGGGAAAACCACCAGCTTCACTAGCTGAGTTCACGTTAGCTAATTTGGATTTCTACGACGTGAGCCTCGTGGACGGATTCAATCTCCCGATATCCGTTACTCCGTTGAACGGGAGAGGAAACTGCAGCGTCGCCGGTTGCATCGCCGACCTGAGGCCAAAGTGTCCGCGGGAGCTGGCCGTGAGATCTAACGGGAAAGTGATATCGTGTAGGAGTGCTTGTGACGTGTTCGATAAAGATGAGTATTGTTGTAGAGGAGTCTATGGGAACCCTTCAACGTGTCGACCAACTTATTACTCGAAGTTGTTCAAGGAAGCTTGTCCTACTTCTTACAGCTATGCTTATGATGATCCGACAAGTATCTTCACGTGTACCGGAACTGATTACGTCGTCTCTTTCTGTTCCGCCAAGTATGTCATGTCTTAGCCCTTTTAAGTAACGTACATGTTATAATGCTTTGTTAGTGTCACATGCAGACCTAACCAAATAATTGTGGGCTTAATCTTGACTCGTTTAAATAATTTAATTTTTTTTTTTGTATGTTTTATTTGATTGATGTGTATAGGAAGAAGCCGGTGTGCACATACCATGATAACAAATTGGTGTGCAGCGATGGTTCTGGTTCGAGTGGATTCAAGACGATGATTGGGAGACTGTGGCTTGTTTCGATGTTGTCTCTTGTTTTTAGCTAATGTTGTCTAAACTAATTTCGTGACTCAGGTTTTTAGATAAACAAGTTTTTTTCTCTCCTGGAGAAAAATTCTCATTTGTTTATTTGTTTTTATGTGTGTTGATAAAGCTAATTTCAATGTGTACATATAAGGTTGATTTGGGTGTGAAAAGAAATGCAAAAACAGATACTAACTCTGAATAAAATGATGAAATAAAATATGTAAAATATTCATTTCATTTGGTGGAATATTTATATTTGAGTTTTGTCTATTCTTATCTCGAATTGATGAGATATCCACTCTTTTTTTATAACAACGATTTTATTTATATAAAGTGTCATAGTAAAAAGTAAAAAATAAAGATGCCACAAACTGTAAATTGAAAATTATATCAGATAAAATAAAATTTGAAGAAACTTTTTTCTGAACCATCTTTTTCAATAATATAATTTTTGATTCGATTACCTTCAGCAATCATATCATCAATGAAATTCCAAACTTTTCTTTCAAATTTCATTTGTTGTATAACATTGGCTAGACTCCAGTTTGAATCTATAGATATCCATCAATTATGAATTTAATCTATTGATTCTTTCGAAATAAATAAATATAGGGTCTGTCAATTTTTAATGATTCAAAAAATATCGCGATATCCACTCTCTTTTATTCAAGACAAATAGGAATTTATTATTTTTGTGTGTGAAATTGATAGAATAAACTATTTTAAATCATTCAAGATTCTACTCAATAAAGTATTGCAATCCATTCTCTCTTCCGGGTTCCAAAAAGAATTCATACTCAGAGCACCCGTGACGGTGGTCCTTACGGAGAAATAATAATTAAATAATTAGTAGATTTCACAAAAATTAAAGATTCATTCTTCAAAATTTTTGAATAAAAATTTTTTCTTAGTGAATCCTTACCATATTTGCGGACTCCCACAACACGTGTCAGTACGCGATTGGTTGGTATTTATTTTTTACTTTATTATATTTTTTAATCTGCAAAAAGAAAAAAATAATAGTTAAAAAATTAAAAATTAAGGACTCCAACAGAGTGCTCTCACATTTTGAGAAAAGATAAATCAATACTATTAAAACATGATCCTTCCTTTAATGAATGGTTTATGTTTTCTTAAATTACTCTTAATTTTATGAACAAATTTAATTTTTCATTAATGGCATTTTAGTCTTTTTATTTGGGTCTAAAAGCTATATATTAATGGGTTTTATTAATAGGTTGATTTTATTTCAAATCTTATAAAAAAAATCTTGCAAAAATATATTTTCTTTGCAGATCAGACGGACCAAATTTTTCAGTCAAAAAAATGACTCAATCCGCTACGGAGGAAGTTGGACGGGACAGGTCGGACTGAGCGATTGAAATTTTATAACTAAATGATTTTACGAATTAATCACAAAACTAAAAAAAAATTGGACCATTTAATTGTTAAATATACAATATTTCTCAAGTACAGATATATCAGGTACAACAATTGTTAACTTATTTAGAAACATATAAAAATTGTCAAAGACATTATAAAATAAAATTTCTTATACCCATATAATAACTTGATTTTGATTTACGACATTTTATATCATCAAAGCAAAAGACTTATTGATTCTTTTGTAAATAAAACAACAAAAATAGTATCCGTGTTTAAAAATGTAAATAATCTGGAAGTTATTAATAAGTTTAATGACGAGCCTACATGGGCTCAAATAAAGCCCACCTAAATGTCGAAACCCTCTTGAGTACGTACGCGTCGTCGTTGAAACGCGAAACGATCACCATTCTCACCGTGCTAGCCTAATCTCCTCCATCCTTCGCCGGAAAAATGGCCACTGGTGGGAAAGTCTCTTTCAAAGTCACCCTGACGTCGGACCCTAAGCTTCCTTTCAAAGTGTATGTTTCGAATCGTCTGACATTTTTTTCCGATTTCCCTTCATTCTCTGATCTGCCTGTGAATTGCGATTGATGTTATTGCGGTTGGTGAAATACAGATTCAGCGTACCGGAGGGAGCACCGTTCACGGCGGTTCTGAAATTCGCAGCAGAGGAGTTCAAGGTTCCTCCTCAAACCAGCGCCATCATCACCAATGGTAATTATTTAGTCATCATTGATTCCATTTCCGCTGATTCTATTCATTTTCATACTCAAAACGATTTCTCATGTGTGCAGATGGGATCGGGATCAATCCTCAACAGAGCGCAGGTACTTTTCAAAATATTTAAATTGTTTAATGCATAGAAGATTACTCTTTAAATTCATGGGAATTCTTGAGTAAGCATTATTATTGTCTGTAAGAAACTTGGACTACACAAAAGTTTGATTATCTATTTCAGTCTGGTTCTGATTTTCATCAATATGTTTTTGTATGAAAGTTAATGTAGTGTTGTGTTATGTTTTGATATCAGGAAACGTGTTCTTGAAGCATGGATCTGAACTGAGACTCATCCCTCGTGATAGAGTTGGAGCTGCGTTTTGTAATTGATCCCATGAATCTTGTAAGCAAATGAGTGAGAAACTAAGTGACATACATTATAAAAGGAAATAAAAACCAAACATATTGAAATTGTTAATGTACAACTTCTTCTCTTTGAATAAATAATATATCAATACGTGATGATGTTCACATCCTTTTAGTGGTTTTAATACATATGCATCTAAGGTTAAAATACATATTTATGTATGTGAATGAATTATAGTACCCAACTCTGTACGAATGTACACTTCAGTGTGCATAAGAGTCTCGCATTCGGCTTCTGATTGTTAGTTTTTGTCTGATTCTTCCGATGGCGACGAGATTTATTGGTTCCGTATTGGGCTTATAATAAATATAGTGATGCTACTGCTCGTGTACCTGATGAGTTGCTTACAAGTGTTAGCTAACAGCTGCAAAAATACAGATAAGCATGAAAAGGTTGCAAGTAGCAAAGGGACAACAACGCCTCGTAAAAGAAACTTTTATCAAAAATTGCTCTTTAAAGTCAATGGAAAGCTCTATCAGAGGCTTGGAAAGATAGGAAGTGGAGGGAGCAGTGAGGTCTACAAGGTTATTTCATCAGATTGTACCATATATGCGCTCAAGAAAATCAAACTCAAGGATCGTGACTATTCTACTGCATATGGATTTTGCCAGGAGATTGGATACTTAAAGACGCTAAAATGGAAAACCAACATCATTCAGCTTATAGGCTACGAGGTACTTCCTTTTAGCTCATGTTCATCTTTAGCTTCTAAGTTGCATGATTGACACTTTACACCACCAGTTCTCTTTTGCAATTAGATTACAAAGATGAGTAACACCATACACAAGGAACACAGTGTCCACTCTGATTTGAAGCCAGCAAACTTCCTTCTTGTCAGAGGCTCCTTGAAGCTTATTGACTTTGGTATCGCTAAGACCATTAATAACGACATTATAAATATCCAACAAGATTCACAAGTTAAAATCCCCCACATGTTTCTACTAATTTCATCATCACCATCCTCTTATTGGGATGTGTACTGTGATAGGTGGGGACATTGAGTTACATGTCACAAGAAACATTCATGTGCAATGAGAGCAAGGAGAATTGAAACACTATAGACTGTGGAAGGCCATGGTCACTTGGTTGCATATTGTACTAGATGGTGTATGGAATTCAAGAACACCTTTTGCAGATTACAAGACCTTTTGGACAAAGTTCAAAGTCATAACTGATCCAAACCATGAGATTACTTACAATCAACTCTCAAACCCGTAACTTGTTGACCTAATGAAGAAATGTCTAGTTTGGGACCGTAACCAGAGATGGAGAATCCCTGAGCTTCTCCAGCATCCTTTCCTTGCCCCTCCTATCTCACCTGAGACTAAAGTCAGCAGCAGAAGCATTCAACTGCTTAGTCACATAGCTGAATCTTTTGTAATGATGACAGGATTTCAGAACTTTGTGCTTAGCTTCTAAAATCGATTACGAGTTCTTGGTGGAGAATAGAAGTAAGCAGTAGTTTAATCACGGTTTTTATTGGTTCATGTAAATTGGTTTGTTAACTTGTGAGCTTATAAAAAAAGACTTATTGTTTGTTATTAATGTCCTTGATCTCATGTATCATTGTTGGTTGCTTATCTTTTCATGTTTCAGCATATGAAACCTTCAGAGCTCTCTTCTTTCTGTTCTTTAGTAACTTTTTAGCAAACCAGTCAATCAATTTCATTTCTGAGATGATAGCGTCTACAGTATGTCATCACTTTAACTGAGCTTAGTCTACATAGCATCAATTCAAGCCCTCATTTATCTTCCACAAATTATTTTATCATTTATCCAAATTTACATTGTTTGAGATCAGAATGAAGAATATCAAAATGTCAAAATCATACTATTTTATGATAGTTTCAACATTGAACCATATTTTTCCGACCACAATATTTTTTCTTACTATATTATGATAATATAAATTTATTTGTTATTTAGTATTTGCATTATAAATAATAAAGATTATTTAATATTTATTATAAAATTATGATTATTATGTAATTACTACATAAAAAATTACAGTATTAAAGAAAACAAATATTTACTATTTCAATATATAATAATATGTTAATATTATATTTTGATAAAATATTTCAGTATATAATAATATTTAAATAACATATTTAAATAAAATTATTTTAGTATGTATAATACTTTATTATAAATATTTAATTTACTAAGAAGTATTTATTAATCTTCTTGTTTATTTTTTTATTTAGCATAGTATTTAATTTATTAAGAAAAGTAAATAGTATTTAATATTGTGAATAGCACTATTGTTTTACACTAAAAATTGTCTCCGCTTAAATCACTAGCAATTCCTCTTGTGAAAAGTAACTCGCTGCATGGTTAAGATATATGTGGTCAAATGGTTGAGCCGGCTTACTCTAGGCTCGTTCGATTGGGGTGTGTGTATATAACAACAAAATGGTAAACACGTAATAACTCGTGTAAGTGAAATCAAGAAAACAATATGGTTTTAGTATTGCATTTGCAAATTGCACCCCAACCGTAAAGACTTTAAATCCAATCATTAAAAATTTAGAATTTCGATTATATTATATAGGAAACCAATAATGTTCACTACTGTTAGTTAGAAGTTTTCAGAAACGTTATGACTTCAAGTTCTTCATTCACTTCAACAAAATCAATAACACAAACCTTGTGTATATTAAACTTATCTGTGGTTTATGAAAGATAAGTTTTATTAAATAATAACAAGAGAACGTACGGGGTTTATAGTAATGTAGTTGGCTACCAGCAAAATATTCGTCCTTTATGAATTGTTTACATGTAACGTGTTGGATATAAACAACGCCAACTTTGAATTTTAATATAATACAAGATAATAATATGCACCCAATGCCAAATGAGATAATTATTTGACCCAAAAAGAGATATTTATAAAATATTAATTAAATAAATAATTGTAAAAAATTAATAAGTCAATTATGATACATATTTATAAAACATTGAAATTGAAATATTTTTGAATTTTATATGGTATATAATTGAATTTAATCGATAAAATATGTATATATATATATATATATATATATATATATATATATATATATTTGCTATCAGATTTTATAGTAAGAAATTAAATCTTCTATTACAGAAATTTCACTGTGAAATTTTTCAACAATTTTGTGATTTATATTTTTTTTAAATTAAAAATAACATATACAAAAAATCTAAATATAATTAATGTCTTTTTAATTTATTTTAAGAATTTTAAAAGTACATTAAAATGATAGAAGATACAAAATTTTATCAAATTTTTATTCTATAATATGATTAATTCTCATATATATATATATATATATATATATTTAAATCACATTGTGTATTTTCATAGCTTTCATTTAAGGAAATAAGGAGAAAACTTTTTTGTAGATTACTAATTAATTTTATAGTTAGTTTAATGAAAGTATAGTATATCTTTAGATTTTGGACCAAAAAATGAATGAATAATATTGTAATTATTCTAGTAATTTAAACACATTCTTATAAGGACTCTAAAAGTTATTTTAATAATGTGACATCATCATAATTAACATGTTATAATGCTCATCTATTAATATAAAAAAATCTTAAAATTGACTGAGATATTATGCTTCTTCTTTTTTTTTTTCAAAAGAAAAGCTAAAGATGTTCAAGATATTGTTTGCTGTCAAAATTTATTCGAAAGATACACAGTGTAACAACAAGATCATATGGAGGTAATTTAAGTCAAGCTACTCAACTTACTGACTAGTTTTGTGGAGGATTACAATTTACAGAGGAAGAAATTTACCATAATTTTGTAGTTCCCTCTTGGCCGTTCACTTCAATGTTGGGTCTAGGCCTGGGTATATTTCCCGGATCCGAAGATCTGAATCGGTACCGATCCGAAAAATTGGGTTTTGGGTTGGATTCGGATATGACGAAATATCCGATTGGATATGTTTTTATTTATGTTTCCGGTATCGGGTCGGATTGGGTATTACCCGAGATCCGAAAAATTATCCGAAACTATCCGACTCTTATCTCATTAAGGTATTAAACATAGATTCACATGGTATTTCTCTTGTAAATGTCTGAAGTTCTTGTGATCGTACTTTTTTTTTAAAGTAGGTGAAATGCGTTTAGCAATATACCAAATGTTGCTGATCTTCTTTTTATACATTTTCTTATAGATTTATTTCGAACTTTCAATTATTCTTTAAGTTTCGTAGCTTCTTAAAGTGATGGGTTATTATCTTTGATTGAAATATTAGATTTGTTGTTTGTTTGAAATTTGTTTAAGACTTGTTCTATTTGGTTTTAAAATTCTCTCATTTATTTTTTATTCGAAATGATTCGGGTAAATCGGATTAGAAATAAGTATTTTTGGTTATGATCGGGTAAAATTAAGAGAATCCGAACAGGAGCTGGATTTTTTCGGTTACTTTGGATATATCCGAAACTATCCGGATCCGACAGGAACCGAACCGAGTCCGATCCAAAATTTTGAAATACCCGATTGAATCCTATTTTGCACCCGATCCGATACTTGAATGCCCAGGCTTAGTTGGATCTCTAAATCAGAATTATCTGTTGCGTTCTCAATAAACTGTCCCGATTTTCAAGATATATAATTTAGCTATAGTGAAAATGTAATCTTTAGATAAGGCATATATATAAAACAATCTATATAAAAATTTAACCTTTAGATATTTACTTGTTTATTTTATAACCATATATACATTATTAAGGTTGGATTTTGCGAATATTATTTGCATACAACAGTCGCATGTAAACGTCAAATGTATATAGTCATTTTCACGAAGGAAACTTGAAAAGGTTGCTAAAAGGATACGATGGTGACTCGGGCGTGTTATGCACGCGACATATTTATATATTTGTGGTCTCTATTACATTTCCCTTTCTTTTTTTCTTTATAAAGTTTTCATTTCCCTTTCTCACTCTATCATTTCAAGAGATATTTTCA